CATAGATTTTGCTTTTTAAATGGTGATAAATCTGACGATCTTGGGGGTCATTCAATGGCACCTCTTCTACCAATCCATCGATCTGGAAACGTCTGATCTAAATATTGTCGAACACGTAATGCGTAATGTGGTGGGGCACCATCCTGTTGGAACATCAACCTATTCGCAATGTACCGCCGATCATTCTGATTTTCAATTATCGCTGTTAATGCAGGATCTATGGCGACTTCCAGTAACTCCAAATACATTTCACCGGTCAAATTTCCAGGTAAGGAAAAAGGACCAACCAAATGATCGCCAAAAATACCAGCCCAAACATTTAATTTTTGTGGCTGCTGTGTATGAACCTCATGATAAATTCTGGGATTAGAATCGGACCAATATCGGCAATTATGATGATTTACTACGCCATTTAAGAAAAAGGAACATTCGTCAGAAAAGGAAGTGCTGAATAGAAAATGTTCATCGTTTATATATAATTCGTTCACTCATAACTTCACAAAATTATAATCGCCGATAAAGATCGTCTTCATTAAGTTCTTGTACCAGGTGAATTTTATACCGATGAAAACTATGGGCCTTTAGAATCCGTTGGACAGTACGTCGACTAACACCACACACAGTCTCCAATTTGCGGGTACTTAACGTAGGGTAGGATCTACATAAACTTGCCCTAAAACACCCACTTCTATTGCTTCGTTCCTTATGGGATTTTCAATGTTGCGTTTTTTATTGCCGACAGACCCAGTTTCCCGAAATTTAGCTACGAGTTCTAGAACATATTTTCGATGAACGTTACTGTTCTCATGTCGCTCATTAAATATTTCTGCTGTTCTATTAGCGCACTGATTATTTCCGAAAAATATTTCGATAATTTCAGCTCTTTCTGCTGTGGAATATACCGTGGTTAATTTATGTAATAAAGCGTTACAAGTTATTTTAGCAACAAAGTTTGGTCAAATCAATCGCAAACTATGTACTAAATTCCTAATTAAAATAAGTACGAGATATTTCCTTATCTTTCTTCAAGAAATAACTGTTTTGCCACAAAAAACCTCCAATAGCTATTTTCAACAACAAAGTGATAAACAAACCATGGTCGTAGTGAAGAAAAGCATTTACTTATCAAGTAAATTCTTTTAGTCAAATTTCTTCTTAAAGTAGTACAAACTGATCTGATGTACCTATTAAAGTCTACTTTAAGCTTTAAATCAATAAATATTCAAAACTACTGAACTGAAGCTCGTGTATTTTACATCATTATAAAGGGAATCGAAAGACCTTTAAAATCAGGTATCACTCGACCCCCCTTTCCATTTAAGATTTTAGGGGGCTGCACGTGCTAACGAGATTTTTTGCCAAACTTGTGTCCCCCTCGAAAACAAAATCGACGGGTCTGAGCGTTTTTCCAAAAAAAACTGAGCTGCCAGTAAATGCGTCTGTTTCGTTTTCAATGCGCCACCCTGTATATTGTCACCTATTATTGAGAATTACACGTACATATTGACTTATTAACAAACCACATATTTTAATTTGTGGAGTGTATACGCATTTATCTTTATTGAAGCGTTCTCGGTAAAAAAAGCTTGTTGGAAATGTGGTTTTTGAAATGATAAATACTTTTGATATCCGCAGAGTCAACTTACTTGCTGCCATATTTTTTTGACATGATATGACAATAACATCAAACATTCCTCATCAAGAAAGTATCGGAAAGGTATTTATATTCACAACCTTTAACTCAAGCAACACTCATCAGAATATTCATCAGATTCCGAAGCACTTTTTCATATAAAACCCTGTAAATAAAAAAATGGAAGAGCTCCGTCAAAGTAAGCGACTGCAGATGTATTTATTTAAAAATCTCGCGTTAGTGAAATGTTTATTGGTTCTAGACTAAAAATAAGAGGACGGAGCGATGTCTTCTCCAGAAATGTTTCAAAATTAAAAAGTCCGAGTCGAATCAAAATAAATACTTCATAATCTGTAATCGAGAAGCAACCGCATACATCCTAGATCCGTATAGATTTATTATTAGCATAATATTTCTGCTCGGAAAGAGATTTACATCATCGATCATATGCTTGTTTGTTTTGGCTTTCTGATCAGAATATACGCGGAATGATCGAGAAGCAATATTGAACTATTTGCTAGGTGTAAGTTTGAGCCACAAAAATATTTTAGATTATTGCCGAGGAACTATCAAAATTGACAGCTTTGCTGCTTCAGAATGACAAATTAGGAAATTTCTCGCAAAACCCTGTACACGTAAACGGTTTCTATTGTTAGAGAGACAGATCTGTTTACCAAAAGATATTTATACGACAAAGACTAAGGCATTTTGCATATTCTGTTTAGATACCTACATAAAAAATGGGGTCAAGTAGATTGACTCTGTACTTCCTACGGCTGCGACTCGACTAGGGGTTCACTTAGATACGATCAACCTTCGACATTTACAAATCGAACTATATAAAATAAATCTATCATATTTTTGTTTCCATGGCAGATGTGTGAATTATTATTATTAACCTAACAGGTATATAGTATCACTTACATCAGCAGCTTCTTAATAATAGAAAATCTTTCACTGACACTAAATATGCAACAATTTACAACCATTTACCGCATACATACCCTCCAAACAATGTGTGAAAATGAACAGGGATCTCTAGTACGTTGTAACACTCTGTTCCAGCGATTTTATTTCCGCCGTTACGGAATCAATTTTAAAAATCTAAGACTACCTAAACCATGGAAGTATTAAACTCGCGATAATATTCGAACTTCGGTTTTCTGTTGCTTAAAGATATCTGCATCACACAAGTCCGTATTTATCATCTATGTTGGTTTATAATTTCGTGTCTGTTGTATATCAATGCGTAACAAGTACTGAGTTAATCTACTTCAGAGAACCATCATATACTGAGTAACACAAAGGTTAGGCGAAATGGGCGGGTACATTTAAGGAACTATTAAAGTAAACTAAACACTTATGTTTTATTATAACTTAATGTAACATGTAATTCAAAGCCAACAGGAAAATAAAATTTCTGCTTTAATAAAACTATTATTATTAGAGAATACAGCGAGCAAAAATAGAGAAACATAATGTACAAAGCAATTGTGGTATACAAAGAAGCTAATACTTGGTTGCATAAGCTATTAGGCTATCTATTGTTTCTTTTGGAATAGAAATCCAGGCGACTTCGATTGTTTCAAATAGTTCGGCACTATTTTTGAACTGGATTTTCAGTCCGAATTTTTCTATCAACTGAATCCCATAGGTGCTCTATGGGGTTAAGGTCTGGACTCTGAGCTGGCCACTGAATGACATTAATATTGTGATCTGCAAAAAATGTTTTTATTATTTTCGCTGTGTGCTTGGAGTTGTTGCGGTGCTGGAACCGCCAGTGTAGAGGCATGTTTTCTTCTGCGTAAGGTAGCATGGTATCAGTTAATATTTCCAAGTATTTGTACCGGTCCATAATTCCTTCAATTTTGACGATGGGTCCCATTTGAAGACCACAGAAGCAACCCCATACTGGAACCTTCCCGCCTCCGTGTTTGAGTGTGCCCAAAATGAACTTGGGATCAAATCGCTTGTTTTTAGGACGTCTTACCCATAAAATGCCAACCGATGACAATAAATTAAATTCACTTTCATCAGAAAATAATACAGAATTTCACCTTGTTTCTGACTAGTTCAAATGATCGTAAGCAAATTGAAGACGGGCGATCTGATTATTCTTGGAAATAAAGGGGTTTTTTAGATGGTATCCTTGCTGGTAAATCACTCTCAACTAAACGTCTTCGGACAGTGTGGACACCAATATTTCCTTCTTCAAGTTGAGCTTTTATGTCGACAGCAGTAGTAAATGGACTTTTAAGAGCAAGTGATGTAATTTTCCTATCAATCCTAGGTGTGGTTGTTCGCGGTCTACCAGTCTTAGGAGGGCTTACCAACGATTTTCTGAGGCGGAACAGCTTAATAGTTTTGCAAATTACCGATCGGCTTAAATTCAGCTGTTTGGCTATCGTTGCTTGTTTAATGCCTGATCGATATTTTGAAATAATCAATTCTTTTATTTGCAAAATGTAATTCCTCTGGCCATGTTTTTGAACTACACCTTACCAAATATACTAAAAAAATAACACCTATACTAATCAACGACTAAATATAAACTAAATATTTACAAAATGTTTCTCTACTTGCGCTCGTTGAATAAAGAACCGGCCATATTATATTGAAAAAAAAAAGAATATATACAAAGATAAGCATTTCATTATCTTGAGGTAGTCATACATAAAAAACGTTTGTTCTACAGTTTTGGATTAGAGTAAATCTTTCTGGATTTTTATTTGTAATGTGGTTTGTTTCTCTGCTTTTGCTCGGTACTGTATGTGTAGATAGCAGAAGTAACCATGCGTTAATGTTATTATCAAATTATCTAAACATTCTAAACCAATGCAAACAGAAGGTGGTTCTGAGTGGGAATATATCGGACGCTGTAGATCAGGAGTTCCCAACAAGGGGGGCGTGCCTCCCAAGAGGGGCATCGAGATGTGTCAAGGGGACGGAAAGCGGTTGCATTTTAGAAAGAAAAAACAAAAGAAAAATAAACAAACAACATTAACAAATAACATTACAATGTACTGTTTAATTTACACGCATAAAATTAGAAATTAAATATCATATTCACTTATTCTGTCAACTACTGTTTTTTAAACCCGACGTCGTCAATCGCAGTTTATACAAGCTTCGACAAGATACAACATGAAATGCGCGCGCACCCCCCACCACGCTCCGCTTAACACTCATCACTTAGAAAATTTTGACGTTTTGATGTACATGTTTTGTTGAAAAATCTGTTTGAATGTGTCAAATTATTGTGTCTCACTGTTTATACTTCCTCGACCAGTGGTGTAGGAAGTAAAAACGATAAATACAATAATTACTGTATAATTATTGTAGCATATCCTTAAAATTGAGTACTCACCCATCGTCTGGATCACAGTCTCGGAATCCTTTGGCGAATGGATTACTTGCTATTTTCAGTTGCGTGATCTGAAAAAAAATCAATGGTTAAACAACACAAAAACGAGATTTGAGATGGCAGGCTTTATATTTTTGTTTCATAAGAGCTAGACATTACGATTTATAAAAATGACGATATATACAGGTTCTTTAGCGGAAACTCTAGTACATAATGAAAACATAGCTATATTTAATTTGGTTATGGATTTTTAGAAATCCATGTTTGGCAGCTTTCATGAATTCTCTGTGCTAAAAATAAAACTTACCCTATGATTTTGGTACGCAGTAACAGCCGTAAAGGAAGTCTCAGGAAAAACGAAAGTTTTAAAATTATCACCGCACTCTTCTTCGGCGGTGCTTCTATTTTTTGGAGGCAAATACACTATGTGGAACCTCGGTTGATATCGATGCATAGAATTCAGAATGATCTACAAAAATAGAATTTAATCCAATACATCTGGGAAATACACTGCCAGCTCTATCTTGATAGATATTTTACAAAAGGAGACTCAAAAATTTAATGAATTCTTAATAAAAATGACAAGATATGAGGGAAATTAGAATCTACTGATTTCGATGTACTTACATGTCCATTATCATCCAGTTGATTATTGGTTAATTTGAGTTTGTCAAAAGATACAGTTTGTTTCATCCATTGTGCCCCTGTAGCCGGACTGTCAGGATGGACATGTATTCTTGGGGGAGATACAGGATCCGCCTTGCCAGCAATCACCCAACTGGAACTATAAACAGATCTTCAGAACATAGGAATCTTTCCTACCAGTTCTGAACACTTCAAAACATGAAAAATTCATCATGAACAACAAGAAATTTAAATAATATAACTAAGATTCTAAACAGCTAATTAAAAAATTGAATTAAGTATGTGACAGCTAGCAAATTTAATTATCTTGATTAAACTCTGATTTTTAAAATATCTTACTTGAATATACGAGACTAGCGTAATTAAATTAAAACGTATATGTTTAAGGTTATTAAACCGCTTACTTGGATTGAGTACACCAATTTATTTAAAATTAATGAACTATTAAAATGAGTTTACCTCCTCCAAGTAAAAAAAATAATTATATTTATTAAATTTGTTTAATTTCTGTAGGTAAACATATTTGCCAAGTTTAAATGAATTATTTATTTTGATTTAAAAACACATTTGGATAATATTTGGAGTTTAAAAGAACAAATTGCGTTTTACGGAATGATGTATATTACAACTGTGCTCTGATAAATCTATAAAGCTCCATAAGAATTGATATTTCCGAATCAAAATTAAATCCTCCGAATTTTGTCACCTTAACAAAACTCGATATTTTTTATTTTTATTGATTGTAAACTTATTATATAATGAGATCAAGTTTTTCCAATTTTTCTGAGTGGCCAAAACAAGTTATAATATATCACCATTCACTGTAGAATGGCGTATCTTTTTAATTCACAAACTCACTCCACTCTCGGAATGTCCGGGTGGAGGGTGGGCTCGAGGGAACAACATCGAAGATAAAATTTGTTTTTCGAACATCTGCGGGATCAACAGCAACATTGATGCTGATTGTTTATCACTACCTGCAATCCAATCGTCCCGCCGTGCTTTTCTTGGCGGAGACAAAAATCTCAGAGACTGCACCGATTAACCATCTCAACTTCCCAAACTACGAGGTGCACTCCAATCTAAGAAAGAACGGGGGAGTTGTGGCTTTTGTCCGCGGCAGTCTTTCCTGCTCCAGGGATCTTTCTTTGGAATCAGACCGGAAGGACATTCTGTGGCTTCGCCTCAACTCCAAAACATCACCCAAATATATTTGCTGCCTTTATCGCTCTCCCTCGAATCATAACTGGGATGACCTACTCGAATACCTCGCCGTCTAGATCGACTTCCTGAACGTCAAACACCCCGCTTCAGAGGTAGCTCTTCTCGGTGATTTCAATGCCCATAATGAGCTTTGGTTGGGCTCAAATAAGACCGATGCAGCAGGTCGTGCAGTCGAAGCGTTCGCTCTTACTCAAGGGCTGACCCAGCTGGTGACGAGCCCTACTTTTTTCCCCCGCGTCTCGTCACACGCCAGTAGCCTGCTGGATCTCTTTCTGACCACGCATCCTGCCCCTTACAGCACTGCTGTCCTGTCCCCCCTGGATAACTCAGATCACGGTGTTGTGGAGGTTAGGTTTCGGTCAGAAGCCGCTGTGGCAGCAGAAACTCGCACAGGCCGCAAAACTTGGCATTACGGACATGCCGACTGGGAGGGGCTCAGAGACTTCTTCTCTAGCTTTCCTTGGAGAGATGTCTGTTTCACTGACGCGGATGCGCCGACTGTCTGTTCTTCAATAACCGAAATTATCCACGTCGGAATGGAGGAATACATCCCTCACACAGTGAAAGTTCCTAAACCAGGGCCCAACGGCTGGTTCAACAAATCGTGTGACACTGCTCGCCAGCAGAAGATCAAGGCCCACAGAACCTACTTACAAAACCGCACTGTAGAGAACAGACAAGCCGACGTCGCCTCCAGAAACAAATATAACGAAGCGGTACGCAATGCCAAAAACCAGCATGATATAAAAGTTAGGCACAGGGTAATGTCGCAGCGCAATGGCAGTCGGTCTTTCTGGACGCTGGCCAAGCAGATTGAAAAGAACTTCTCCCACAGTAGCCTTCCACCACTTACGTGTCAGGATGGAACTATTGTATTCGACTCAAAGGCCAAGGCGGAAGTGCTAGCCAAGATCTTTGCTGCCAACTCCACCATGGACGTCCCCACCAACGCCCAAGTGCCGTCAATTCAAATGGTTCCCCACACTATGCGGGAGGTAACATTCAGGCATAAGACCGTAAGACGAGTGCTCTTGTCTTCCCTGAAAACTGGAAATTTGCTCATGTACAGCCCATCCCAAAAAAAGGATCTAAAACCGGCCCTTACAACTACAGGCCTATAGCTCTGCTTTCTGTTATAAGTAAAGTGATGGAGAGGTGCATAAATCGCGAGCTTCTAGACTACCTCGAACGTCACAGCTTGATTAGCGACAGGCAGTACGGTTTCCGGCACCAACGATCCACAGGGGACCTCCTAGCTTACGTCACGCAACTGTGGAGTAAACTCATCCAGTCTCATGGTGAGGCTCATGTCGTTGCTCTTGACATCACGAAAGCGTTCGATCAGCTGTGGCACGCTGCCCTCTTAAGCAAACTTCCATCCTACGGCCTCCCAGAAAAGCTTTGCAGATGGGTGGCTGACTTTATCTCTGGCCGCAAGATATCCGTCGTAATTGACGGATTCTCCTCTTCATCCCACAACGTCAACGCGGGTGTTCCCCAGGGATCGGTCTTGGCTCCAACACTGTTTCTCTTACATATCAACGACCTCCTTACCTGCACGATCAACCCAATCCACAGCTTCGCTGATGACAGCACTCTACATGCAGGAATTCAGAGTGACAAGCTTGTCTGCCGCTGAGCCGGAAAAAAGAAGACTAGCGACGACTTCTTCTCTGACAAGAGACCTGGAAGCTATCACTGCTTGGGGACGCAACAATCTTGTACAGTTCAATGCTTCCAAAACACAGTACTGTACTTTGACGAACAAAAAGCGTCCTAGTGCTCATACAGTTTCGATGGACGGTCGAGTTCTACCAAAGAGCCATTCATTTCGGCTGGTCGGAGTCCAGATCACCGAGGAACTGATCTGGCACGAACACATCTCTTCAATAGCTGCAGCTGCTGGGAAAAAGCTAGGCTATTTGTTTAGGGCTAAGAAGTTCTTTTCTCCGCATGACCTTCTCACTCTATACAAGGCCCAGATAAGGCCTAGCCTCGAGTATTGCTCACACATTTGGGGTGCTGCCGCCCCGTCTACATTGTCCATGCTCGATGCTGTCCAGAGGAGGGCGGTCCGACTGATCGATGACTCTTCTCTAATAAACAGTCTCGTGACACTTTCGCACCGGCGGGCCGTCGGCGACCTGGCTCTTTTCTATCGCTACACCAACGGGCTTTGCTCCTCAGAGCTCTCTTCCATGATGCCGCCGCGCGATGTGCCTGTCAGACAGACCCGAATGACTTCGGCGTCCCATCCTTACCGTGTCAAACTTCGTACATCCAGACCTCTCCGATACAACCGCTCCTTTGTCCCGAGGTTGTCTACATGGTGGAAAAATCTACAAGAGGAAGCTTTTCCCAGTTCTACTAACCTTAGGCAGTTCAAAAATCGTATTAACAAAATTTCTTTGGAATCATCATAGCAGCCGCGGTGTTCCGGCATTTAGGCTTTGGCCTGCGCGGCTGTTTCGATATAAAAAAAAAAAGAGATAGGGATACATCAAACTGAATAAGGTCATTTGATCATGTGCAAATATGCACTGAGAAAAAAATGAACTAAACCAATTAAAATTTTAATTAGGCCGAATAAAAATTTTTATTAGCTGTGTAACAACTAACAGGTTTCGTTAGATTAATTAAACTTCGATTTCCTAAACAGCTTTTTAATATATTTAATTATATTTACTAAGTTTGCTCAATTAGCTTAGGTAAAAGTGTTTGCATATTTTTAATGAATTATTTAATTACACTTAAAAGATATTTGGATGATATTTGGAATTGAAAAAACGAATTGCATGTTACTGACTGATGTATATTATAACTGTGTTCGAACAAATCTTTGATTTCAAAAAATTTGGAGAGCTTGATATTGATAATCGATGTTTTTAAATAAAAATAAAAACTTCCCTTCAAGGAGCTTGGACTCAAGGCGATTCTTAACTTCGCTAAAAGGGCGAGGCTTGTGATCTAAGGAAGAGGTGCATAAGGGCCCGCTTAAGCGGCCTATGCACAGCTTAATAGATCAGGTACATGGTTCGCTATTTTCAAACAAATTAGTTTAACTGAACCAAATGACTAAATTACTTAGAGTAATTAAAACTTTTATTACGGGTAATGAAAATTTTCCAGAATAACTGTTTAATTAACCACGTTTTCTCAGTGTAGCATATCCTGGACTATATTAGTAACTTTTTGTTCATTCAGCACTACGGTTCTACACACAGTACTTTTTGCAAGTTTTCCTGCTATAAAAAAATATTAATACTAACCTGTGGAAGGCGTACCGGTACCTCTTGTCATCCACAGGCACGAAATCCATCATCAGCATATACTCTGCATGTAAATCCAAACCGCACAGTTTCACTTGGAACGTCGGAAACATCCTTCTTCCTGCTTTTGTAACGATCATTTCCGTTCCTAAAGAATGAAATTCGTCCCACAGATGCTTCATTTCCAAAATGGCGCCGGCATTCGTCAAAGGTGGTGCTACAGAATTAATACTGCAAAAAATAATAACAAGCGATATTTGAAAAAATTGTGACTTCAAATACGAGTATTTCACAGGCAGTGTTGCCAAACCGACAAAGGCGAAACCGGTAGACAGTGTCGTCGAAATTCGGTAGATTCAAGGATAAAAAATCGGTAGGAGGAAAGCATCAGGGCCGTCACAAGATCAGCGATGGATCAAGAGACTTTGCGTCAAGCAGCGCCCTCTATGAAAGAAGTATATTCTTGTATTGTGCGCGTATACACAACACAAGTTTACGTTCCGCTTGTGACCGACTGCCCAAGTGTACGGTTATCTATGACTGGTATGGGACATCAAACTACATAGACTAAACAGAATTCATTTATTTAGCTTTATTATTTAAAAAAATCGTACAAAATGTGGACGATATCGGTATTTCGGTAAATAAGGTCTCAAATTCGGTAGAAATACAGAAAATTCGGTAGGTTCGGACACACTGTTCACAGGATATTTTAAAATCAATGAATCAATACTTTGGGATAGCTTATGAGAATGTAGGCTGTTAACGACGTTACTGCTGATCAGTCCTTTCAAACAAATTTCAGACGACATTGTACAGGATATGGCAGCATAACTTCCTTTATTCAGAACTTAACAAAACCCATTGAATGAATCAGAACATTTTCATTTGTTTTTTACAATGTAGGTGCATATCTGAACTTTTTTTTTATATAGCCTTGAAGATCAAATCAGTTGGGTGAAGTCGATTCACTGAGTAAACCGATTTCTGGCGTTTGTCATGACTCTTGTTAGCATAGCAGGCGTTATTTTGGCAATTTCTTCCTGGAAGTCCGCCTGCAAATCTAGTAGAGTCCTTGGACGGTTCACATCAATTTCAAAAAGCCCCATAGAAAAAATCACAAGGTTCCAAATCGGGAGAGTGGTTTGGCCAATCCAAATCGCCCCTAATTGAGATGAGGCGCAAAACAGCCATTGTTGTACTTGAAGTCTATGCCGTAGCACCGTCTTGTCCTACTCATCTGGCCGTCGAGAAATAGGCTATTTGACTAATTTTGCAAAATCATTTTAAATTATTCTTTTATATATAATGAGCACACTACATGAATATATAATTTAAAGTTTGAATTTTTAGAACCGCGCCAAAAACGCTATTCCTGTGATGGCGCCGGCAGATGACGTCTGTGACGTCACACGCCAGTAAACACGATCACGAGCTGTCAGCCGAAGTTAATTTCATGATTGTGCTTGATTTTGCTATAAAATCATAGATAAAATGGTCTATAAATGGTGTGTAGTGCCAAAATGCACGAATACGTGTATAAATAGTCCACAAACATTGTTTGTTTCTGTTCCAACCGATTGTAAAAGACGAAAAAAGTGGTTACTATTAGCTCGGAGAGACCCAAAGGGCATTTCATCGACTTCAAATGTATTTATGTGTGAAGATCACTTCGATGTAAGTATAAATTGAATATGGTATCTACTACTACTACCGCTTTTTTTTAAGATTGAAATAATATATAACTATCTATAACCTCAAATGTTTTTTTGGTTATGTTGAGGATAAGTCAGTGTTGAGGATCAAAGATCCTGTTTATTAACCCTAAACTTATTACTCTGTAGGGTTTCAAAATGTTTTCTGTTGTTTTGATTATATTAGCTACCTACATATCTCAATAATTTTCTATGCTGTGTCATTTTACCTACTTTGCTTATTAGATAGTGATAGTTATGTTGAATTGCAGATGGAAAAAGACACCATTAACTACATGCAGTACAAAATGGGTTTCAGCAAGAAGATACTTTTGACAGAAGATGCTGTGCCAACAAAATTTCATTGTCAAGAAGATCGTAAAAGACCACTGTCTGATGCTGGACTTTCTCGAGGAGCATATGTCAAGAGGAAAAGAATGGATTTGGTCAACACATGTTTGCAAAGTCAAAATGCTACTGAAGCCCAAGCTGAAAGCTTACAAAAAGATGAGAGTTTGATACAAGACATTATTGAACCTCAAGGTATGTAATCTATTACATGTGTCCTATCATAAATTATAGTCTAAGAGCTGATAGACATTTTTGTAACCTATTTGAGGCCTTATAAAAATTTGTCTACTACTTCTTCCATTATTTCTGAATAAAAAGGGCAGAACTGAATAAGGTGAGTAACTGTTGTCCCTAGGGGTATTGAGGGTATTTTTCAAAAAAATCATAATGACATATTTGTAGCACATTGAGATTATCACAGAATAATATTTATGGTTTAAAATTGATATATTCAAAGTGATAGGTCATTTTAGTGGGACATTTTACTTGCTAGGTGATCAAGAATGCTCAACTTGTACTTCAGGTAATGGGTAATTTTCTCTCAAGCTGTTGATGCTTGCACAAAATTTAGGTCCATTTTGAAGTCCACAACGAATAATGATGCCAATAGTTGAAAGATTGATCAAGAAAGTAATAAAAATCTGTTTACGAAATAGAATTATGATAGAATATCTCACAGAAATCCAGCAAAAACGTACAACGCGATGTTTGTTTACTTGCATGTGACGTCACCAGAGTCGTAGCCAATCGCGGGGCGTTTCTGTGACCCATCGAATTTTTAAAAATAGCTGATTTTTATTTGATTATTTCCCAAAAATATACATATTTAGGTGTACATTAAAGTACTATGTGTTTTCTTATTCTATTATCTAATAGGATCACCACAATTCGCAACTTATTTTCAATACTGTCAAATAGCCTATTCCTGTAATATGTCCACATACCGGTCCGAATTCACTGTCACGGTGACTTAATTTTCTTCAAAGAACCAGGGATCAATAATTCCAGCTGAGGAAATTACGCACGACACTGTGATTTTAGATGAATGCAAAGGCCTTTGAAGTAATTCTCGGGGATTGGTGTCAGTCCAGTAGCGCATTTTTTGTTTGTTGACGGATCCATACAAATGAAAATGGACATCGTCACCAAAAGAACAACAGCGTCATCAGGAACGACTTTAGGAAGACTCTCTCACGCGTTCATCCGAGAATTGGAGTCACGGTCAGAAAGTTCCTGCTCACTGCAAATGAGGATTATCATGAAGAATTCTCCTCAGAACGCCGTGGTAATCGCAAAATTGAAGCCCTCACTGCCTCAATGCTTTCAGGGGATCTAATTTGCCGAGTGACTCGAATTCTTATTCTTGTCGCACTTGCAGTTTGTTTGAACGTAGTGACCCACGTAACTATTTTTCCGGTCCGGAACGGGGACCAACGGGGCTAAATAAAAGCGGTTCCCAAAGGCGTGCTGCGTAGCGATCACATCCGCATGATGGTGACTGAACTGTGTCGGGACTTTATTGCCCCGCCTAAGTGCATATTGAAGAAGGAAGTATGCTGCTGCACCCTGTATGATCCAACAAGTAGTCGGGTTTTTTACCTCTAGTCTTGTGCTGTAACTGTAACAAATGGTTTTGCTCACCTACTATGATTTTTGTTGTGAGTATTAGTTCTATTGTTGTTTTCTGTAGTTCTGCTTTCATCTTCTAAAGACGCTGCATCGGCTTGATCTAGAGGAGAGTAAGCTTTCCTATCTTTACCGGCACTTTGTAGACAAGCTGGAAGAGAATATGAATTTGTATAGGTGATTCCATAAAAATATATGAATAGTAACACTAATTAGTAGTGTAACTATTTTTCTGTCGCGATTGATGAGATACGTTCATGCCAAGTCAAGTTCTCGGTGATCTGGACTCCAACCAGCCGAAATGAATGCCTCTGTAGCAGAACCCATTTCAAGTTATAAATTCTTGGGACTCGGTCAATTTCAAGCATTTATATAATTATAATCTCATAATATTTAATAAACTGATAACATTTCAATGCAAGCTGTCACTTCATATTTTTACCGTGTTTTGTTTTCAATACGTCGATACTATTTGCTGTCAAAAATCTGGCGGAGAGATCTTGAGGCTCAATGGCTATATTTGACTGTCTGTTTGGTACTGCTATTCTATTGGTGCAAAATAATGCTTTGTTAGATTGTGAAATCCGCCCTCAGTGTCTTTTATAATTCTTTAGCCTTATTTATTTATTGTTCATCTACATTTGAACTTTGGTCCTTTTTTATCTCTTATTGCGACTTTGTGTTTAATGTTTGTCTTATTTACATATGGTTTGTTGTTTTTACTTACTCTTTTATGTTATACTTTAATGGACCTGTGCCAACACGCAGTGAGTTTCAAGCCATTTACAAGGGTTCAGCTGCTTCAAAACTGACATTCCATTTTTCAATATTTTTGAATGAAATTCATACAGTATGTTGAGAAGATAATTGCCCAGGGTGCTATAGGAGCACTTTTCGAAATTTTGTTTTTGCACAAGTTTTATGATGGGTTGAAGTGCGCACTTTTTCTGTTCATCTTCGCGATTTTTTTAAAAAGAACCTAGTGAAAATAATGAAAAAGTGGATCTATAACATCCCGTGAGGTTTTGCTTTCAGCAATCTGTGAAACTTTCATCCAAAAATATTAAAAAAGCGTCAATTTCGAAGCGCGCAAACCTCTAAAAATCGTATTTTGGACGAATTTTGTCTACTGTTTCGTGCTGCCAAACCAAGCGTTGCGGCGCAATGTACGGACTAAGAAAAGACGTATTCAGATAATTAGGTGGCCCTATTTCATATAATATCGCTTAGATAAGTCGTTCTGCAAATAGGTACTCATAATCGCGATCGCTGTTACTCCTCGATTTTAAAGCCGTTTTACTTCCCACGTCATTGGCGAGGAAGTATTGTAATCGCGAAAAATTTCTAAAATGAGATGTTATGTTTTTTTAAGTCATATGACATCTACATCACGAAAAACTGTATCACTCATCATCAACTGGGAAATTACCGATCGGATTTTTATGAAATTTCCACACGCGGTTACTAGTATGCCAAAGCTTTGTAGTTTTAGTCCAGTGGCAACGGTGCTATAGGCAAAAAAGAAAAAGTAACAATTGCTGAAACTCCGTTTTTGACGTTTCAGGGGTTCCTAATCATTGACATAAAAAATTGTACTGCTTAAAAAGGGGGGGTTGAAATCAGTGAAACGCGTTCTATTACTAAGTAGCTTCTGATCCCAGTGATTACAGGAAATTTAAGTATCGAAAATACGACGAATAATGTGCTCACGATTTCAAAAAATCAGTACCTGCTCTATAGGTTTAACATCAACAGCCAACAGATCTGCAACTACCGACAGTAGGGAAGAATAAATTCGGATATCACTCCAGTCAAGTATAGGGGAATTTAGCGTGGAACTTTAAAATTATCGATATGTCAAGGAAATATGTTTTCAAGAACGATCATTTGGTAGATTTTATACCTGCATCTTCATTTGAATTTCATGACCCGTGAAATGTACCCATTTCGCCGTTACCCTTTGTGTTCTGCAGTTTGTGATGTTTTTCTGGATATAAGCAGGCCATAATTGCCTTGGGTGCTATCAGAGCGTTTTTATAAAATTTTGTCTTTGCCCAAGAATTATGGTGGGTTGAAATGCTCACTATTTGTGCTCAACTTCTTGATATGTTAAAAAGATCCTAGTGGATAAAATCGAAAAAGTGGATCGCTGGTACCCTGTGGACTTGGTTTTAGCACACTGTAAGAGTTTCATTTGGAAATAATAAAAAGTAAGCTGTGAAGTGCAAATCGGTTTTTGGGCGAAATTCATCTACTGTTTCGTCCTGCCAGTCCAAGCGACGCGACGGTGCGTTCCGACTAAGAAAAAATGTATTCAAATAATCTTATATCTTTCCTAAAATAAATTCAAGAACTCAAATTCTAATTCGTTTATACATGTCAATAAACACAATTATGTTTACAAGGGTCGTGTGGTAGATGATAAAAATTGAACGAGGGTCATAAAAATATCTTATGCCGTCAAAATAAGAGGAAACAGGTAGTTTTTGCAAACTACAAGATTGAACTGCCGTGTCCAATGATTTTTGTATTGCCTTTTTTATTGCCTTACTAGAAAACTCTGTTGGGTATATGACCGAGTTTACTAGAACTTTACAGCTTGTTGTCTGCCTTCTTCTACAAACTTCACCAAATCGATATGCAAAATCTCGTCGTCACTTTTTCTAAGTTTCCCTAAAAATTCTTGCTTAGCAACCTCCAAATCAATGTCGTTCATGTCAGGTTTTTGACAGAATTCGCCATAAAACTATTATATATTTTCTTTGGAATTGCTATCCGAATTGTTAGTTATTTTTATATAAACTTTTTTTGGTTGTTTGGTCTGAGTTTCTTTCCAAGATTCTTGCGTTTGAATCTTTGTTCCATCTTAGTGATAAGCGAGGTTGGACTAAGCTTAGAACGCAAATGTATTTGGACCACATAGACAGGCCGCTCGGTATTGTGGGTCATTACAGCTGCAGCACATCTTCCATGGTATAACCTCCTCTTGCAATAATTTATTCGCTTACCCCAATGTATTTTGCGATTATAGAGTTGAACTGCTCCACACTATTGTTGTCCTCATCATGAATTAAACTCACTATCAACCTTGATAAAAAGTTCACTCAAGAACAATCACACCAACAAGAGTACAACACAATAATTCAACAACACAATATCGACGAACAGTAACAAGGGTAGAACAATACTAAATGTTCACTAGCTGAGTACCAAAATAGGAAACGATTTACAGGCTAGACCGCTAATCGAAATCCGACTCTGTTATTATAAAAATTAACCTCGGTAGGTACCCGCAATCATCCTTTCCTCTTTTAAAGTAGCGCCGACCACCGTCTAAGACCAGCCCACAATCGTTTCCTTTTCAGCCCCCCGTTACCTCAGCAGATGGTGCTCGTGATTGTAGGAGCCCCATTAAGACTCATGGATTTATTATGTCATCAAAGTCCAAATAAGTATTATATCTCCTGACTCGTTTTAAGAACGACTTGTTGGAGACAAATACGCTCCTTTAGAGCCGTTTTACACACAAGAGAATTACTCCGAAAATTATGGTCATAATTATGCCGAAAATTTTTGCTGTCGTATTACACGTAAAAGAATTCTTGTGAAAATTTTCATGGTAAAAATATAAAACCCGTTCTATATTATATGCGCGAGAATCGGCGCAGAGGGTTATTTCCGTGCATGTCAATATCAAATGTCAACGACAACAACAACAACAACATAACCTCACTTAACATTTGTTGGAGTGGTCCTGTTCGAGTCGTACGAAGAAGCGTTTATGTTTATTGTTTATTCATAATGTCGTGGAATCGGGAAGAAGTTACACTGTTGTTGGAGGAGTACCAAAAATGGCCAAACCTGTACAAGGTGAAGTCAGCCAATTACAAAAATAGAAATTTGCGGCGTCAGGCGCTGGATGCGGTAGTCCAAGCATTGAGAAGTTTGAAACCTAACGTGACAGCACAGGATGTACAAGCAAAGTTTCAAGCTTTGAAACAAAATGCCAGCAAGGAGAGGCGAAAATGTTTGGAATCGCAAAGAAGTGGCGCTGGTTCAGATGATGTAAGTTTTTTCTATATGTTTGCATATTTCACTTCCACTATGTATATTATGTATCTGATTGAGTGTTAAAAGTAATATTTTTCACAGATCACGGAGCCATCACTGTGGTATCATAATTTGATTGGCTATGTGTTTGACAATAGTGAAGAAAGAGGAGCATTCGATTCTTTGGAAAGCGAAGATGTTCAAGAACAAGATATAACATTGGTAAGTGCCGATGTTGTGTTGCATATTTCACTATGGCCAAAGCCCAAATTTCACTTAAATCTGAATTCAACAGTGATTTTGTCTAAACCTAAAAGTACACTTGAGCTTTGCTGAATAGTCATCAATACTTTTGCATTTATGATAACAGAATGGACCTATGACCATGTACTCCATATTATTTATGTAACAAATAACATGCCAAGTACAAGCTGGTGTTACATTGTCATGAAACTGGTCATTACCTTCATTCTTTTTACTGTTTCATGATTTTTCATATCCAAATCTAATCAAGCATTAATTTAATGTAAATATATATTTATACCTATTTTGCCAAAACTAGAAAACTTTATTCTATATTACTACCTGTTCATTTCAGATTGAACAAGCAGATGATGAGGATGCCTTAGCAGAGGAGGTGCTCTCGGCGGCAGTATCACCATCAGGGGCTTTGGAGCATATCAGCACGCCAAGCCACTCTAGAAGCTCTTCAAGGGAGAGCATGACAAGTGCCCCCAAAAAAAGGAAAAGGAAAGAAGAGGATACAGATGTTATGGGGGAGGTCAAAAGTACCTTGCAACATATTTCCCAAAGACTGGGACAAACCAGGGAGAAATCCTCTAACCAGATCTTTGGGGAATATGTTGCCTCAAAGCTTGACCGAATAACGGACAGTGAGATAAGAGATGAGGTTGAAGCTGAAATTGTAAATGTATTAAATACTGCCCTGCGAAGGTGCAGGAAATGATGTTTTTCAATTAAAGAGCATTAAATGGATACTTCATTATTTTATTTCTGTATACAATACGGTACAATAATAGAAATAATTATTTGACTCAATATTTCATGAAATGTTCCTTTGTAAAGCTGTGTCTTGCCATGGCACAGATCCAGATGTTGAATTGAAATAATCCCTAAATTCTTCTCTGATTGATCTCGCAGAATTTCCTGATCGATTCCCAATTTGCTGTGAAATTTGAGGTAACAGTTGGGATGGATCAATGTCATACGTGCCTTCAGTAGTGTACATAGCATTCTCTTTAACTAAAAAGTTATGTAAAAGTACACAGGTTAATGTTATGAGTTCAACTTTTTCTGGTCCCAAGTGTATTTTTTGTAATAGAACTCTCCATCTGTTTGCTAGTATTCCAAAGCCACACTCCACCATTCGTCTAGCTCTTGACAGACGGTAATTGTAAATTCTATTATCATATGTCAATGAACGTTGTGGGAAGGGTTTCATCAAATGATTAGATAATGGGAATGCTTCATCAGCTATAAAAACATAAGGCACTTTATTTGTCCTACCAGGAAGAGCTCTGCCTGGTGGCAGATTAAGTGTCTTGTTTTGCATTCTTTTATAAAGTCCACAAGCACTGAAGACCCCCCCATCACTAATTCGGCCATTAACACCAATATTCACATAGATAAATTTGTAATTGGCATCTACTAAAGCTAGTAAAACCATACTGTCTGTGCCTTTGTAATTGTGGTAATATGATCCAGCAGATGTAGGTGGGCTAAAAGCTATGTGACGGCCATCTAATGCTCCAAGACAATTTGGAAAATTCCACTTGCTTTGGAAATCTGCAGCAACTTTCAACCAATCATCTGTAGTTGGATTCTACGATTTAAGTAACAGTTAAATGATCTAGTTATAGAAATCATAGTGAATTGAAATACCTTCAAATAAACATCTTTCAAACATCTACATAATGCTAAGCATGTTTCTGGAACAATTTTAGAAATTGTGCTCTCATGAATTCTTGTGCTGTACATGAGACTTCTATATGTTTCACCAGTAGCCAAGAAACGCAATGTGACATCAAGCCTAAAAACAATAAGTCCCATTAGCTATATATACATAGGTCAAAAGTAAATTCAATTGTCCAAATTTATATGATGCCAAATCAAAACTATACAGGCTTTATGCATGTGTTGTATAATAAACAAAAACAAATAATTATTGCTATCTTACTACCTGTGTTGGGCACTTACGCTTTCTCTCATGAAAGTGTCTTCCTTTTTTATATGAGGTTCGACCAATGCTAACAGGTAATCAAATTGAGTATCATCAAGGCGAAGAAAATTTCTATAAGCATTCGTATCCTCTACTCGTAGCTCCCTGTTTAAAAGAGCTAAAGTACCTCTACCCTTTTTTCTCTGCAGCCACTTTTTTGTCCACTGAGATCTTTTTCTACTACCTAATTTGTTTTTGGTTAACTGGTATATTAAGACACAACAAGTCACTGCAGCAGTTAAGAGTAAATCAGATTGACTCAAATTCATTTTTTATAATATTAACCAAGATCTCGATTTCATAAATATAAATCAACGACGTCTGTTGTCTTTCCGATTATATTGGATGTCACACCCGTTAAGGTTATGTCCATTCCAAAATATTACTCTAATGCGCAGGCGTATCATAGGGTAGGGTGCCCTAACTTTGCGTAGGAGGTAAGATTGCGCAGCTCCCATATTTCGAAAGCAAAATGACATTGTCGACTAACTTCTCTCGTGTTCTGGGCTGTTGCTGTGAGTGAGTGCGCTGTAGAAAAAACAAACCAAAAACCTATCAAAACCTAGTCGCAAGGTAAGTTTGAAGTTAAATATCGATTCTGATGTTATTGTTTCTCAATTTCAAACTGTAATTACATGAAAGCCTGAAGTACTATCAAAGATTTGACCAGTGTTTTCGTTTGCGTGATTTAACCTATACAGCCGGCGAGCGATATAATTTTTGATATTTTCAATAGATGGCGTTAGGAGTCACATAATTGTATATTGGGCTATTCCCTAAGACTGCGCAGAGTCACGGTCCGTAACACTACGCGCGCAGACTTACCCTACCATAACTTTTAATTTGATATAACAACCTTAAATATTCATTTTCAGAATGCCTAATCAAAGAAAAAGGTCGTCGGAACGTTCGCTGTGCCCTCAATATGTTTTAGAGGAAGCTAGAAGACGAATAGAAAATGGTGAAAGCAAAAGAAAAGTAGCATCGTCGTACGGGATGAAAGAAAGTACTTTGCGGTATCGCCTGAAGAGAAAAGAAGCTGCAACAAAGCTTGGTAGATATGATGCAACTCTTTCTCCCGAAATTGAACAGGAATTTTGTAATTATTTGGAAGATCTTGACAATATGTTTCAAGGGATGACTCCTAAGAATTTGAGGATTGCTGCTTACGAGTTTGTGGTGAAAAATAATATTCCTCATCGTTTCAATGCCGAAAAGAAAATGGCAGGCAAACACTGGCTTCGTGGATTTCTCAGTCGGCACCCAGATCTTTCACTAAGACGTCCAACTTCCACAAGTATTGCTAGGGCGATGGGATTTAATAAGCCACAATGTGAAAGGTTCTACAAAAATCTAGCAGAATTGATGGACAAGTATAAGTTTCCTCCAACTTCCATTTATAATATGGATGAAACTGGTCTGTTTACCGTACCCAACAATCCTCCAAGGGTCATATCAAAAAAAGGAAAGCGCGCTGTTAATAAGATTTCTAGCGCTGAAAGAGGAACGAACGTAACCGTAGTGAGTGCTATGAGTGCATCTGGACACTTCATTCCTCCCGCTTTCATATTCGGTCGCAAAAGGATGAAAGCGGAATTGCTGGATGGCGCACCACCAGCGTCTATTGGAATGGTCTCAGACACAAGTTATATTAATAGTGAACTTTTTTTAAACTGGCTAGGTCACTTTAAAGATCACACAAGACCAACTAAAGAACACCCTATCCTTCTGGTTCTTGACAATCATGTGTCGCATTGTACAATAGGGGCTGTAGACTTTTATCGAGCGAATAACATAATAGCTCTAACCATACCTCCACACAGCAGCCACAAGATGCAACCACTAGACAAAGGTTTTCATAGTGCGTTGAAGACTTATTTTGCGAGCGAATGTGAAAAATGGATGAGAAACACCACCCTGGCAGAGCTATAACTGCTTTTCAGATGACGTGTTTATTCATTCCAGCATTTAATAAAGCAGCTACAGTTGGTTGTGCTGCTGAATGTTTCAAGGTGTCCGGAATCTACCCATACAATCCAGATATCTTCACAGATGCAGATTTTCTTCCTAGTGCTGTGACCGAAAGAGAAATGGATGATAACCAATGTTCAGAATCACAACAGGAGAATCCCCAAGAAGCAACACCCCATGAACAGAGAGAACCAGTTATGGATAATGAGCCTCGTGCTTCTGTTTTCAACAAGGAGCCAAAAAAACCATCAACTCCGAGGAACGCTTTTACAGCAATTGAGAATGTTTCTCTAGTAACAGAAGCTCCAGCCGAACCAGTTGTGAGTTCTGAGTCAGGGCAAAAGAAAAACTTCGACGGTCCTCCAGCTGAAAAAAATGGTGGTATCTTCCAAGTTCCTGCACAGGTACCATCTTGCAGCAATGAATCGGCCGCAATCAAAGTGAAACTCCAAGATATTTGCCCTATACCAAAATGAGGTATAAGAAAGACCGCAAACAAGCGAAAACATAAGAAATCTGAAATACTTAGTGGTTCTTCATATAAAGAACAGCTATTAGTAGAGAATCAGTTGAAGAAAACTCCTGAGAAAAAAATGAAAAAAGTTTGCAGAAAGCCTTCTAAATATCCTAAAAAAAAGAAATGGGCATGCGGTGGCTGCAATGAGGAGTATAAAGAGCTGATTACAGAGGATTGGATCGGTTGTTCTGTTTGTTCTGAATGGTGGCATGAGAAATGTACGGCCTACGTAGGCATTGGACAGTTTAAGTGCGATTTATGCGCTTAAGATACCTTATTCTGTTTTAGTTCCTACTTTTAAGTTTTTGTTATCTATGCGCAATCTTAACGATCTGAATGCGCAATATCCAGGGACCCTTAGTGGTAAGACTGCGCATTTACATCTTTGTCTTTTTTTTTAATTACTAACAAAATTGTTATCAGATGTTTGAATAAAACTTAAATTAACAAAGTACATTAATGTGAGCCTAAATAGAAATTAAGATTATTACAATAGGTTATTGATTCACGATTCTACGGCTTATCAAACCTTAAGTGCGCAGACTTGGGGCACCCTACCCTATGAATTACTCGGAAATTTTGTTTGCTGGTGTCATACAGGTTGTAGAGACAATCTTCAATATTTTTTCCATGCAAATTTTCGGCATAATTATGACCATAATTTTCGGAGTAATTCTCTTGTGTGTAAAACGGCTCTTAGAGATGATGAGAGAAAGAAAAAATCTACGCCTGTGTCTTTTTGTACATACATTGGTTTAGGCGCCACCGTAGTTGCTTGTCGTTCGCAAAAAACTCTCGCGAAGCCTAATGAATCATTTGTTGGTATTTCTCGGCACATAAATACGCTCTTTTCGGCCAATATAAATCAAATGACGTATGGGGACGGCCTTACAAATATGCACGATGTGTTTAACTAATGAGCTCCACTGATTTACGGGAACTGACGGGAACGACACTCCAGACTCACTTTCGATGGGTGAGATGACTTGAAAAGAGCAATTAGACGTCAGTCCGTCTGACCAGATAGCAAAAAATCTTTTTTTAGATAAAATGGTAGCATCGAAAAAATGTATGGGTGTATGGTTACGATATTTGATTGATAGTACAGTCCGCCAAAATCAAAAGTTTGCCTCTTGTTAACCTATCAAACAAGGATAAAAATTACTTCAAAATAAGCCAAGCCTAAAATAGTTTTCGAAGTCTTGTACGGGAAGGTTTGAACTGAATGTCGATTTCTCTTGTTAGCAATAGTCATTCACCAATTTTTAGTA